ACAGTGATCATATCTTCAACCTCGTTCGACGAATTATCCATCGAAAGATATGATTGATGCAAGGAGGGGCCATGAAACAGTCAATTGCTTAAGATATGATTCTAACGTTGGAAGCAAGGCAGAAACTAAGCTTCTTAGAGGGTCTTGTATGTTGAACATGTTTAATATGAATTCCACAATGTCCGAAAAAGCTAGCAAACCTCGTTCGGACTTAGATTTCTTTTGAGAAGTTTGAGGAGCAGCTTTTTTATTTTTTTTATCTTTGTTGGGCAATGGCGGAAAATTCTTGCTGCATCCAGGGATTGGATCAACAGGAGCCTTCGGTTTTGTTTTTTCATCCCCATTACCCTGGGAATTTGGCAATCGTCTGGAGGTGACTTTAGTTTTCTTACGGCGCACTTTCGGGGAGGGGCATTTTCTTTTTGAGGAACCATCCATTTTTGAAGGTGCGTGTACCACCGTAGAATCACCTTCATCGGATGAGTCAGAGTCCGATTCTTCAACTGACAAAACCGAAAATTGGTTTGCATCTTGGACGGCTGATGCAGCCTTCAACATTTGAGCGTATGTCTGCTTGGAGCGTCCAGAGATTGAACGCTGCACTTTATCGGAGTGCTGTTTGTACATCGGGCACTCCTGCAAGGGGTGAGGATTCTCGCCACAGTAAGCGCATTTTACTGATTCTTTGTGGCAAGAATCCTCTTTGTGGTTTTCACCACATTTGCCACAACGAGTTTTGTTGCCGCAATGGCTGGCCGAGTGTCCCAGCCTTTTGCAGTTGGTACAATTATATACCCTCTGTACAAACAGTCGCACCGGAAAAAAAGCACCATCAATTTTAACAAAGTTTGGGAGAACTGAACCTGCGAAAGTCACCCGGAACGAGTCTGAATGTTTATAAACTTTTTTACCGTCTAGCAAAGATGCTGAATGCAGTTGCCTTACATCCAGTATCTTCACTAGCGCGGTAGCGAATGTCGAGTTTTTAAAAGTTCCCGAGGCATGTTTCAAGTCCTCGACAGTCAGACTCGCGTCGGAGACCACGCCTTCTATCTCCACATCTCGAGAAGGGATGTAGATGTTATACTCAACACTAAAAAGCTCGTGGTCAGCAATTTTATTTGCCACATCATAAGTCGGTGCTTCTACACGCAGTTTGTTGAATCTTTCTTTGTGTACCAAGATTCCCGGATACTTACGCAGCAAATCTCTCGTTATGTCGAGAGTTTTCAAAGGTTTATTTTTGGGCCGAAAAAAGACAACCCATGGTCCTTTCGAAGACGGTTCATAGTATCTGGTTCGCGTAACGTAGGTATCGGAAGATGCCATAAGTGTTGCGCAAAAGCGGTGCGCAACCACTTAAGAAGGAAAAAAAAAATTAAAACCTTCACTAATTAATTAATTTTAATTACTAGTAATTAAATTTTTTGCCCGCCGTACGAACAAATCAAAAAGAAAAAAAAAAAATCGAAAAAAAAAAAAAAACTTATATCTACTTGCAAAAAGTTGTCTCACTATGACCCATACTCCCCTACCAGGGGTGAGAGACAGAGTCACGCGCCACGAGGCAAAACTAAACTACAATAGGGAGGCAATGGACTTGCAAAATGTATTGTCTTATACTTATGCCGGTTGTAAACAACCTATCAGCCGTTGCAGCTAGATGGTCCGTTTGCTGCTGCTGGTGGTGATGATTGGTGTTGGTGGGTCGGCACGATGATGGCTTGACGACCGGATGGATTACCGGGGTGAACTAAAGCTGGATGGCAACTCCAAGGGGCTCGGCCCATGGAATTCCACTTCCTCTGTTGCACACTGGTCACTTGGGGCACCCAATGGGGGGGGGGGGGGTGAAAAAACCGCTCGGGCGGAAAAAAACACCGAAAAAAAACTAGATGCCGCGCGACTGAGACCGGGACGTTGTTAACCGACTGACTGTTCAACTAGGAATGATCTGTCAAACTTTCATAGCGAATCAAAACAAACATAGTGTAGTAATAGAATTTCAACTAGAATAGGGTACGTTAATCGTTTGCTTGGGACCAATAGGCTACTAAAGTGGTGAGCCAATTTAAAATCGTTAGTTTCGTATTGATTGTTGGTAGTAGTGTTGCCGTGTGGTACAATCAACCGGTGGAAACTAACGATTTTAAATTGGCTCACTACTTGACTAGCCTATTGGTCCCAAGCAAATCGATTAACTTATCCCATTCTAGTCGAATTTATATAGTACTACACAATGTTTGTTTTGATACGCTATGAAATTTTGACAGATAAAATGAGGGGTTAGTGGATTTTCCTATGTTTCGAGGGGTGAATCGATTAGCTTGGGACCGAAGAGAGTACCAGAGCTGAGCCAAAAAGTTGAGCACGTTTCTTCGGAACCTTCTAGTCTTAGAGTTACATCTATGGTACAATCCAGTAATAGTGGTGTTGCCATGTGGTACACTGAAAAATTACAATAGCAGGTGCGTCACCAAAGTTTTCAAGCCGCTCCGTCTGTCACTTCGTTTGTGCTACTACTGGATTGAACTAACAGGAATTTCCGGAAACTTCGGTTTGCTCAGAGAAAATTTCTGGAACGCAATAAAAATTATATGAACATCCCGAAAATGTGAGAGTATTTCGAGGAAATTTCAAGATCTAAAAAAAATCGAAAATTTAGCTAAGTTGATTAGAGAACATCAATGAAGTTCCATTAATAAAAAAATGCGAGAACTTTTAGCAAGCACCGATATTTTCAAGAACTTCCAGAGAACTTCTAAGAAATTTAGATATTTTTTTGTTGTTTCATTATATTCAGTGATGTTGCGAGTAGTTCGAGGACGATCAGATAACATCATACAAATCACATTGACTTAAGGAAATTTGCAGCGACTTACAAGGAGTTCCTAAGAATTATTAGATTTTCCGAGAATTCTATGATTGATCCGAAAACTTTAGAAGCTTCAGGGAATTATAAATATATATCAAAAAATTTGCCGGAACATTTGATCAATTTAGAGAAATAAATGTAAAGCATAGAAAACTTCTGGGATGTTCAGGTTTTCCAGGGAAAATTTGTGATTTAAGACAAAGTTCCGTGAGTCTTTATAAACTTTATAAAACTTAAGGAAAATTGTAGAACTTTAAGACAATTGAATCATTCCCAGTATAATGGTGGGTGCTTTTAAAAAATTCTAAGATGTTCAGGGCAGTCTACAGAATTTTAAGGAAATTAAGAAATATTTTGGGCAATTTTGAAAACATCAGGAAACTCTAGACTATTGCAGAAATTATGAATTAGTTTGGATAATTTGAACTTCAGACAAATCAGTGCCAACATTTCAAAGGGGCGTAATTGCTTTTGTAAACAATGGATTTGGACGTCGATTTCTCGCAAATGAAAACCCACCCCTCCAAATTACAAATGCTAGCTGATACAGGAAACATACCTCTGCATGCTGGTGTCATTCATTTTCATGAGTGAGCTTTCATTTGCGAGAAATTGACGACTAAAGCCATTGTTTACAAATGCAATTACGCCCCTTTGAAATGTTGGCACTGAAATATTGAGAACTTCAGTGACAATCATAGAACTATATTAATTATTTCGCTGCGGAAGCTTAAGCAAGTTCCTGAAATTTCAGAATAACTTCAAAAACTTCACAGAAGTATAGAGATATTCAGAAACATTTCGAGAACTTCATAAAAGTCTATGGAATTAAAAGGAAGATCCGAGAACTTCAGGAACTTTTATGGACATTTCGGGAGCATCTAATATAAGTTTAGTAAAGCTCCAAAAACAAAGGGAATTTCAGGGGAGTTAAGTTCAATTAGTTTCACTAAATTAGCGGGAGATTTTAAGAAGTCCTAAGATGTACAGAGAACTTTAGAAATGTTAAGAAAATTATTGAGGTTTTCACACTTCCCCTTCCCGTTGGTTATGTTGGTTGGCGTGGGCGTGCCTTGTGTTTCGATAAATCACCGAGGGAAGTCATTGTTTACAAAAGCTGTTACGCCCTAATTCCAGCTCTATCAAGAGATAAGCGGAGGAAAAGTAGAATGTAGCCAAACGAACTGTCAGTTGGTGTAGCCAAACGAGCATGACGTCATCATGGTGTTTTTGTGGGAGAAGTATTGTAATATTATGAGCACAAAACGTTTTCCACACTTCACACTCCGAATTATTTCGCGTAAAACGGAAGAAGAGAACATAATGCAAACGACTCCTTGGTTCATTATTGCAAAGATTTGCTTTGCACTTAATTTTGAACTTTTGAGCACGAAAAAAAAACAAAACTGCATGACGAAGAGCTCTATGTTGGCATGAGCATTTTTACGGATGCCAGTAAGATCATTTATTTTTCATGGTTGCCAAAACAACTTTTTGTGCTTCCGCTTATCTACACAGCAAAAAAAGTTGTTGAATATTACATCGAAACTGCTGCAACCAGGTCAATCCATCGGTTGTGTAATATCACATTGTACGATGTACATCGATTTTGCGAACAAAATTACATCCATTGATGTAATATTGTATCTGCTTTTTGCTATTACATCATTATTTCATACATCAGCTTGAATTACGTTGATCGATATTACATTTTTTTTTGCTGTGTATGGAATCTATATAGGACATATCAGGCATAACATTTGATAACGGCACAAAAGCATTTGTAAACAAACTTTCTAAGGCCCTTTACACGCGAACCAAATTACGCCCACGCAAACCAATACCACTTTCGGAAAGGTGATAGTTGCCCCTATCCAATGATGTTGTTGGTTCGCTTGGGCGTACTTTGGTTCGCGTGTAAAGGGCCTTAGAAAGTTTGTTTACAAATGCTTTTGTGCCGTTATCAAATGTTATGCCTGATATAGGAGAAACATGGTCAATAGTAGGTAAAAGTGAACTGGCCGCTGGATATTTTTTTCTTATCGTGTATACAAAAGACTTTATTTGAAGTCTTTCGATTATCCGTGTATAACTTATTTGTCGGAGTTGTTGTTTACATTTTGTTACACAAAACAACCACCAAAACTAACGAGAATGTTCGTGTATCGTACAAAATAGAACAGATTCGCGGTTAAGCCATCGGCGAGTTTACACGTGTTGTGTTGAGCGGACATTTTGTAATTGCTGATCGAACTGAGGTGGAAATTTGTAATTCCGATTGAAGAAAAGTTTTTTATTTTGAAAGGAGCGAATTCTTTGAAAGGAGACCTGTGAGTAGAAAGATTGGAGAAATGACTGGACCGGGCGATCCGGATCCAGGAGGCGGAGGCGGAACGATACCAAGTGGTTCTAATGGAAAGCAATGGCTGACATACGAATACAACGAAACAGACGCCGGACCATACAGGGTGATCGTTCAGCTGAACGAAAATCGTGACGACGCACAAATTAACAAGCTAGCAGTGGGTAAAATTCTAACGAAGACGAAGGAATACAAGGTAAACGTACTGAACCTCAAAATTATGGGAAAAAACAAAGTGCTGGTATTGGTAAAAACTCCACAAACGGCAAACAAAATCCAGGCTGACAAAACACTACGGGCACAAAATTACAAGGCGTACATTCCAAAGCACTTCATGACGGTAGCAGGAGTTGTTACTGGAGTTCCATTGGAGATGACACCGGAGGAAATCTTTGAAAATATAACCTGCAATATGCCAATTCTGAGTGTAACACGACTGCATAAGTATGAGAATGACAACAAAATCCCAACCACACGGATCGCTGTGACATTCAGATGCAATCAGTTGCCATTGGAAGTCCGAATGTTCTGTTGTACAAATCAAGTTAAGCCATTTGTTAGCAAGGCAGTTTTTTGTCAAAACTGTCTGCGATATAATCACCGGACGAACAACTGTCGATCTAGACAGAGATGTGAAACATGTGGAAGAAATCACGATGAACAAGGATATGGACAATGCACCATGCCAGCAAGATGCTTACACTGTAGACAGGAAGGTCACAAATCAGGCGATGCTAATTGCCCCGAACGCGAGCGACAGAACAACCTGAAAGTAATAATGGCGAAAACAAACCTCACGACACTGGAAGCGCAAGAACAATATCCAATTTACACCCAAAACCAATTTAGCCTGTTGGAAAACATTGAGGATTTCCCAACGCTATCTAAATCGTATGCGAAGGTATCTCAACTCACAAGCAACCAAAGCCAGATAAGACAGATTGAGCGAAACCGAAAAGTGCACACACCGAAGCGATCGTCAGGAGAAGCAACGAACACGGAAAACATCGGAAACCAGGTAAAAATTATCTACGACAAGAAGCGAAAAACGGATCATGAACAAACCACGAACGGAGTGGCACTGTTCAATCGCTACAAGACAGACGAATTCGAAAAATTCCAGTGGAAACTTAACCACATGCGAGAAGCAGCACAGAAGACACATGAAGCTGTACAGCAGTTTAACACGTCACAGGAGGTGCTCAGTATGGATGATGATGAAGAAGATCAGATCAACGGAGACCACGCAGGACTAGCACAGGTAAGCCAGTCGGTTGAGAGTAGCATAAAACAAAGAATTGATTACAATAAAGCTAATTAACAACAGAAATGGCATGTAAGATTATACAGTGTAATATACAAAGTCTAGATAAAAATAAATCAGAGTTAGCCAGAGTAATGATACAGGAAGTATACACAATAGGATTAATTTCAGAATGTTGGACTAAAATAGAATACGAAGATACCAAATACAAAATTCCGTATTACAACAATTTCTATTGTTCAAGGTTAGATGGGTATGGAGGTGCAATGATTATTGTACATGAAGCAGTTAAAAGTAGGAAAATTGAATTAGATTCGACGGAGAATATACAATGTGTAGGCAGATATATAACCAAAATGGATCTAGCGGTAATTTCGATATACGTTGCACCTAGCACACCGGCGTACGAATTGAAAACCTTCTTGACGAAACTGTTCAAATGCGTTGAAGGTTTCAGAAAGGTATTAATCGGAGGTGATTTTAATTCACACCACCATTTATGGGATCAACATCATTCGGATGCAAAAGGAGCAGTTCTGTTCGACATCATCAATGACGAGGACATAATTTTGATGAACAATGGCGATCCGACATTTATTCAAGCGGAATTAAACAAAAAGCCTTCTGTAATTGATCTAGTTCTGGTATCTCCGGGGCTATTTCAAGATACGAAGATGGAAGTATTGCAATACGGAATAGGCAGTAGACATCTAATTATACACATAGCAATCTCGAACGATCAAGTATCGCCTAACAGATTTTTCGTCAACCGGAAGAAAGTTATGGAAGAAGTAGGGAAGCTGGACACGAATCAGGTGAAAGGACTAGCAGCACTACAGCAGGAGGCAAGAAGAATTATGATAAACGCGAAGCAGAAGAACCGGTATGAGCCAAAGTTTTGGTGGAACGCGGAAATAGAAGATGCATGGAGAAGTAAAAACGAAGCTAGGACCAAATTCAACCGTAGTGGCACACTAGATGATCTAATGGAGATGAAAAGACGTGAAGGAATTTTCAAAAAGAGCAAAAATAAATTCATGCGAGAGAAGTTTGAAGACTATGTCAAAGAAATTGATCCAAGTACGAGCAGCCAAGAATTGTGGAGGAAAATAAATAACTTAACCGGAAAAAAGAAGAAACGGAATCAGCCCACGATCGCACATGAAGACGAAGAGGCAGCAATTCAATTCCTGAATGATAACTTCCCTTTTAGTGACAATTACGATGCAAATTTCAGCGCGAAGGCAACCTATGACATATTGAATGTCGAAAAATGGTACGAAATTTTGAACAAGAAGAAAAAACACTCTGCGGCAGGCCCGGACTGTCTCAGTTATGAAATGCTGAGAAATTTAAAATCTGATGTTCGAGACAGCGTAATCGAGGATCTCAATAGAATGTGGAAATGCGGAAGAACTGATGAAAATATGAACAGAATTAAAGTGATTGCAATTCCAAAACCGGGACGAAATCCAGAAATTATCAGCAACTTACGGCCGATCTCTATGCTTAACTGCTCATTGAAAATGATCAATACGGCAGTTTTAGTTGAGCTAAATCAATTCATACAGAGTAATGCAATATTACCAGAAACATCTTTTGGTTTCCGAAAGCACAACTCCACTACTACATGTCTGAACTACGTCATCAACAGCCTAAACTCTATTAAAAGAGAAGGTAACGTTGCAGCGGCGATCTTCATAGATATGTCTAATGCATACAATACCGTTAAAACAGGGACACTTGAACAAGTGCTTTACGAATACGGTACTCCACTGGAACTAACAAGCTGGATAGTAAACTTTCTCCTCGACAGAACCATTCAAATACAGGTAGGCGCACAACATCTAGAAAGGAAAGTAAAAGATGGACTGCCTCAAAGGTTCAATATGCTGATGACTTCATGGCAATCGTAAAAGGTAAAAACGTTGAAACTGTGCAACACCGGGCGCAGACTTTTGTAGATGAATTCAAGGAGAAATCGGAACAACTGAACCTGAAAATAAACAAAAGCAAAACAAAAGTCATGCTATTTCAACGGAACAAAAAATCATTAAAGTTGAGTATAGGAAACACGGACTTGGAAACAGTAAACACCTACAAATATCTAGGAGTTACACTGGATCGATCGCTAACATATGGAGCCCATATCAGAGAAGTTAAGAGTCGCGCTACTGACAGAATCAACATGCTGAAGGTAATAAGCAGCACGAAGTGTGGTGGTCACCCACAAACTCTAAGCCTTCTTTACAATGCAATAGTAAGAAGCTACTTAGAATATGGTGCTTCTGTGTATGCAAACACATCGAAATGTAGCCTGGAAAAACTCACGATAACCAACAACACGTGTTTGAGAAAGATTACAGGATGTTCAAAAACCACACCAATTAATACTTTATGCGCTATAGCTAGCCAACCTCCCCTACAATTTCGTAGAAAGTTGATAACGGCTAAAGAAATAGTGAGACACGCACAATTTCTGACTCCGGTCTGGTCACAACTACAAAAGTTGAATGTATCCAACGATGCAACAACACATAAGTTAACTTTCCAAGAAGAGATTTTCGAGGATTACAAACATGTCTTCAACGAGGTCACGCATACAGTATTGATTCAACCAATCTCAACAACCATACGAGTCGAAACCGAATTGGACAATAAGCCATGGACCAAAAGGAACACATCCGCAAAAACACTAAAACAACTAGCTTTGGGGAAAATACACGGATCATATAAGGATTGCCGGAAAATCTATACGGACGCGTCGAAGGACGACGAACACTGCGGCGTGGGTATTTTCGATGAGAGTAACAAATGCAAGATTAGCTTGAAGCTGAAACACACTGTATGTACGATGTCAGCGGAACTAGAAGCAATTGTAGTGGCGTTACAATACGTGGAAAGGAATCAAATCGAAAATGCTGTAATTCTCACCGATTCGAAGTCGGGATGCGAATTCATAAAAAGTCAACTTGAATCAACTGAAAGAGACGAAGTTATACATACCATCATTGAAAAAGCATCAATAAGTAACACCTGTATCCAATGGATCCCAGGACATGTGAACCTGGAAGGAAATGAGATTGCAGATAGACTGGCGAAAGCTGCACTCCATACGAAAGAAATAACCAACAATCGGATATTACCACACGATGCCATCAATTGGATTAAAAGCGATATCACTGAAAATATTCAACAATGGTATGTTAACTACACACAGGAACATGGCAAAGGAAGGAAGTTCTTTAAATTTCAAACAGGAATAAATTTGAAATCATGGTACCACAACCTGCCGCTAACCAATTCCGAAGTAAGAACACTCAACAGGCTGCTATCCGGTCACGATTATTCGCCGTTCTGGCTCAGCAGGATGAAAATTAAAGATGAGATGTACTGCCAATTATGCGACTGTTTAAACACCTCTGAACACATAATTTTCCACTGTATAAAATATCTAATACCCAGAGATAAACACAACCTTGATAAATATTACTCAATCCAAGAAGCATACGATGACAAAAACATTGATACTCTGAAAGATATATGTAAGTTTCTTAAGGAAATCAGTCTAAACATATAATGCTATAAGATTGTAATGCACTGATTCAAATGACAACACAAACAAAAAAGCTACTCCCAATGAAAAACCGACTGGCGTTATAGCGAAAATGCTGTGCCATTTATCAGTGGGTTGTTTTGACAACACCCATAACCAGAAGAAGAAGAAGAAGAAGAAGTACAAAATAGAATTAAAATTATTCAATAACTCGTTTCGGCTTATAATGTAAATATTAAACACTGAAGTGACCTAAATAATAAGTGATAATGAACAAGTCGTGGAAATCGTTTGCTTCGCTACTTTCTACACCAAGTCCAGTGAGAACTTCAAACAAAATCATTCCAAGAGCAACGGCGGTTGGCTCATCCCGTGTCATCGCTCATCTCAAAAGAAGCATCTCTCCTGCCGGCACGTGTAATCGTCAGTCCCGATTGCCTTTACCCTCACTCCAGGTTAGAATGCTATAATATCTAATAATTGAAGTGTTTTAAGCTGGATAATATCTTCAATTTTTGCAGACAGATGCAGAATCAAAGATTGAAGACGCCTCGGATGACGAAGAACGAGAGGTCGAACAAAGCGCCAATAGCGCAGCACGTATCGTATCAATCGTAGACTGTTCCGCTCCTTCACTAGACCCGAACGATGTTACGATATGTGAGAAACCTCGTATCGAATCGGATATTGAAGATGTATCGGATGACGAAGCCACCACCTCAGACGTACCACTAGACGTGATAGAAACCACCTCAGACGATTCTGATTGTGAAGCGATACATTGCAAGCGAGAAAAGCGTCTGAAATTGGATTTCGTCAATCGTAAATCTCCGCGATGTGGACGAAGGATTACAGACGACATTTTCATGGTTGCTAATGCAACTGCTCGGGCAGCAACAGTGGAGAAATCTTCTACGTGGATCAAATCCGTTGTCGGAGAAAACAGTCCTAATCGCTTCCCAAAAACACCGACAAGAAGGCGAAGCTCCACGTGGAAGCGATTGGACGAATCATTCAAAGATAGTCATCCTGTTCCGACCGCTATAAGTCCACCAAATCGAAAGTGGAAATCTCTCAACGAATCTTTCCGTGAGAGTCCACCAGCAGAAATTGAATCCAATCTTACACCTGAAGATTCTTTACTATCAAAAGTGAATGAAGCTTCCACCGAACAAGTTCCTGAGACTTCATTCTACAACCCAACTTTACATAATCTACGTGCATCGCGAGTAAAGTACCGCAAAGATTGTTCACTTTTTCGTTTGCAAAGAGTTCTGGATGAGAAGCTTTCGATTCAAACATTTTGGCTACATGAACGACAGATCAGATTGGTGCCCGCTAAAAGGCCGGTCAAAGTTGAATCTATAAGCAAACTTTACGGTAGAGTTGCGATCAGCTATAACGAGCCTGATGAGGATGATCCAGAGATTCAAATAGAGCACATATTATATATAGATCCGGGCGAGAAGCAGCTGAAAACCTTGGGTAAAGGTTCTATGATAGAAGTGGAGTACGATTTGGAACCACACAAGCTGAGCAAACGAAAGCTTGTACACCTGGGAGTGTGTAAGATAAAGGCTGTGGATTAACACTGCCCGCAGTTATTTGAAGTCATGAATTTAATAAAGTTATACATTTTACCATTTGAAAACATTATTTAATTTTACTGACCGATCCCGATTCCGTTTCGAGTTGCTTTAACAATCGATACAGAGCGGCCGCTTCCCGTATTCGACTGAAGTCGACACAGAACGCTTCCAACTCAATGCACAGTTCACTGGTTTCGATAATACGATTCCGTATTAAACTTTGGAGGAAGACACAAACTAACCGGACCAAACGATTTTGCAGGTATCGATCCTTGATCGCTTCGCACGACGATATACAGTTGCTGATGTAGAGATGTATGAACTCGGTAGGAAGTTCAACCAGCGTGGTCAGTCGATTGACTACCTCCATAGAATGCAACGACATTTCCATGTTGACTAGCACATTAAAGTACTCGGTGATCTGAGGAGAATGAATCAGCTTCAGCAGAATTTCAATTGCAATCAGAGGATTGTACTCGACCAAATCCGGTAGCTGAAATAGGAAATACAATGTCTGGATAGTTGAAACCGCTATTAAAACCAAAAGCTCACTTTATCAGGTGTCAGTCCAACATTATAAACAAGTTCCGGATCCTTTTCTAGTTCCCGCAGAAGGTCATTTTGATCCTGAATACTGAGAGCCTGCCGGAAGGACTGCGTTATCAGATTCTTTGCATCCTTGCCCACACTCTTCGTTTCGACGATCGAGCTATTGTAGACCGGTTTGTGGTAGGCAGGATTCGTCATGTCCAACCAGATCAGTTCATCTTCGCAGTTCAGTAGTGGCGGGGCCACGGTCATAAATTGAGTCCCGAAACCATTCGAGAGGAAACTGCCGGTGCTTCCTCCACTGGCGATGCTACTGCCGGCGCTGTCCGAACGTTTCGATACTCCACTTTCCATTTGTACCGGCTTTTATGTTGGTTTTATGAAATTGTCCACAAACTTGGCGATTGACTTGAAATTTCGCAAATAATAATGTTTAAAACTGGCGAATAATATTATTTATTTATTTATTTCCTTTGTGACTGTCACGCTCGCTCAATGTTACTCAAAAGTGAGTAACTTCTACTCAGTTTGGTATTTTTGTACAAAATGTCAAAATCTGAGTAACATTGATTGAGCAAAGTGAGTAACTTCTCCTCTGTTTGTCTAAAAACATTGTTTACTCATTTTTGAGTAATCCTGCACAAATGTTACTCACCATGCTTATGTCAAATACTTGTAAAAAAAAGTGAAAATTTTTGTTGGTGGTTAAACTTCCGATTTCCCTTTGAAGTTTTGAAAAATTAGTATAAAGAAGTGAATCAAGTGGCTGCAGAGGTAGATAAGGATTCGTTTCGTAAATTGGAAAGGTAAGAAAAATGAAATATTTGAAAATAAAAGCATCTTATTCAATCCTATCAAAAAACAATAGGCTTATCTAGGAAATGTTGATGTGGGATGTTACATCGGACGTAGTGGACAGCATAGAACTGCAGATGGAACATCAGCGTTTTCTGAAGGACATTGGGATCCCTGTGCTCACTCATATTGCCATGATAATGCCATACAACATTTTAAGACATCGCTGAAGAGCGTCGGTCACCAGCCTCGTCGTTGCATTTAGAGAAGCCTCATAAGACACCGAAAACATTGTTTTTTTTAAATATAAATGTACGTCTCCTCTTTTATATTTCAATAAAATTGTTTGTTCTATCGTTTTAATTTTTCATATTTTATCAATATAAAATTAATTAATTACTCATTTCGAAAAACGCTCAATTTGATATGAACTGAGTAACATTTACTCAGATATGCTTTTTTACCGCAAATCAGAACTGAGTACAAGTTACTCTGATTTTGACAAATGCTAGCATTACTCAAAAGTGAGTAACTATAGGTTTACTCACTTTAGAGTAGTTCCACTTTTACCGAAAGAGAGTAGATTTTTACTCACTTTTGAGTAACATTGAAGGAGCGTGGTCTCTACAGACCGATGTCAATCATACAAGGTCTGCACTGTAACTGGAAAGTACCCATTAATGGGTACAATTTCACCCATTTTGAAGTAAAGTAGGTTAACCCATTTAATGGGTAAAAAAAACATTTATGGGTATCTAATACCCATAAATTAGTAATTGTTACCCATTAGTGGGAAAACGTTACTCATTAACGGGTTAATATTAATACGCAATATAAAATCGTTAGTTCCACAGGTTGGGCACCTCAACGGTGATGCAGCAGATAGCGAAGTTGGTACAGTAACAGACCTTGGAGCACGCGCAGAATACGACAGGCTACCGGACCCTAATCTTCAAGAAGTTGAGGAGGAGCTTGGTCGACTGAAGAACAACAAAGCAACTGGTGGAATTGCCAAGATTTGGGAGGAGGAGATATTACCGGAGGAGTGGATGGAAGGTGTCGAAAGGGCGACAAGTTGAATTGCTGCAATTACCGCTCGATCACACTGCTGAGCGCCGCCTACAAGGTACTCTCACAAATTATGTGCCGCCGCCTGTCACCATTTGTAAGACAGTTCGTGGGGCAATACCAGGCGAGATTCATGGGTGCCCGCGATACCACGGAGCAAATTTTCGCGATTCGGCAGGTTCTGCAGAAATGCCGCGAATACAACGTGCCCACACATCATTTGTTCATCGATTTCACGACACAATCGATCGAGATCAGCACACTTAGATTTTTTTGCCGAGATGGGCACCACCGAGCAGCTCGGCATTTTATTTTGCTGGAAATTCCGAGGGAAATTCAGCAAAAAATATGTTTGTTAGCTGAGATCTCGGCAAAATTCCCGTTTGTTAGCTGAATCTCGGCAAGTTTTTCACTGAGAACCAGCAAAATAAAATGCCGAGCTGCTCGGTGGTGCCCATCTAGGCGAAAAAATCTAGGTGTTAGCACTTACGTGATTGGTCAAGGGATGGATCGATTGATGTGCGTTGTTCGAGTCCCTTTGAATCTTGAAGGGCATCCAACTTTTGGCTTCGCCGAAGACATCGACATCATGGCACGGAACTTTGAGACGATAGCGGAAACGTACATCAGACTGAAGCTAGGCGGATTGGACTTGCCATCAACACATCGAAGACAAAATACATGAAAGGAAGAGGTTCTAGGGGAGACAATGTTAGCCTACCAACCCGAGTTCAGCTAGATGGTGACGAAATCGAGACATGATTATGGCAGCGAATCGGGCCTACTTTGGACTCCGGAGGACGCTTCGGTCGAATAACATACGCCGCCGTACGAAGTTGACTATCTACAAGACGCTGATTAGACCGGTGGTCCTCTACGGCCACAAGACCTGGCTTTGCTCGTGGAGGATCAACGCACCCTTGGTGTTCTCGGACGGAAGGTGTTGCGTACCATGGGGCCTCCCTCAGCTCAGTCGGTAAAGGCGCAGCTACAAAGCAAGACCATGCTGGAGGTGGCTGGGTTCAATTCCCGGTTCGGTCTAGGAATTTTTCGGGTTGGAAAATTTCTCGACTTCCCTGGGCATAGAACACAGCAAAAAGTGTTATTTGCAGCAGACTGCAGAAAAGTTTAGATATTTTCTCTTCTTATTTACAAAAATGGAAGATTTCTCCCAACGCTTCCAAAACTCAACTTATAATATTTCCACATAAGCCTAGAGCTTCCTTTTTGAAACCTAATAGAAGTCACATAGTCACTATGAACGGAGTTTCAATTTCCTGGTCAAACCAAGTGAAATATCTTGGATTAATACTTGACCAAAAATTAACTTTTAAAGGTCACATTGAGGGCATTCAAGCTAAATGTAACAAATATATTAAATGTTTGTATCCTCTTATAAACAGGAAATCCAAACTTTGCCTGACGAATAAACTTCTAATATTTAAACAAGTTTTTAGACCGGCCATGCTTTACGCTATGCCAATATGGTCTTGTTGTTACACTACCAGGAAAAAAGCACTTCAAAGGATTCAGAACAAAGTTTTGAAAATGATTTTGAAGTTGCCTCCCTGGTACAGTACTACCAACAACTACCATAGAGGTAACTCTAATAGCGAATTCGTTTATTATCGGGGTTGGAACCAGTTCCAACCCAGTGCGAAACCAAACTTTTTGCCAGTGCGAACCTCAACCTGAGGTGGGTTTTAAAAACAAACGATCAAACTGACGTTTGTCAGAACACAAGCAGACCCAACATTGATACCCGATCCAGGTTGGAACTGAATAATAAACAAATTCGCTATAAGACTAGAAGGTCCCGAAATACGTGCTCAACTTTTTGGCTCAGCTCTGGTACTCTCTTCGGTCCCAAGCTAATCGATTCACCCCTCGAAACATAGGAAAAACCAATAACCCCTCATTTTATCTGTCAAACTTTCATAGCGAATCAAAACAAACATTGCGTAGTACTAGAATTTCGACTAGAATAGGGTACGTTAATCGTTTGCTTGGGACCAATAGGCTACTAAAGTGGTGAGCCAATTTAAAATCGTTAGTTTCGTATTGATTATTACCGAGGTACATAGAATTTCGAATGTTGAGACTTTAGAACAAATGTCCAACAACATAATTAATAATTTCAGGCAAAAATCGTTGCAATCCTCAATTGCAACGATTAATTCCCTTTATACTTAGATAAGATTTAGTTTTAGTTTTTAGTTTTAAGATATCAATTGTTATACTGACGTTACTGCAGTAACTGGAGCACCTAGGTTAAAATGAAATGTAATTTATTTTGAATTTGGAACAAATAAAAAGTAAAAAAAAAACTGTGGAAGTGCATCTAGAACACTAAGCTGAGAGCACGCAATAAGCTAATATGCGATATGCAATAAGCTTGACATGCGAAGAAGAAGAAGAAGAAGAAGAAGTGTTGCGTACCATCTACGGTGGAGTGCAGATGGATGACGGAACGTAGAGGAGGCGAATGAACCACGAATTGCACCAGCTGCTGGGAAAACCATCCATCGTCCACATTGTAAAAATTGGGCGACTACGGTGGGCTGGCCACGTCGTAAGAATGCCCCATGACTACCCAGCGAAAATGGGTCTACGAGGCTGGCGAAGTGTGGCCATGGATCGAGTAGAGTGGAGACGACTTCTTCGGACAGCAGAGGACAACAAAGCCACCCTGATTGGTAAGTAAGTATGTTAATATAACGATTGTTATTGTGCCATGCTGAAGAGGCAGTGTAATGTTGATGACCAATTAGGGGAAATAGCCCTATTGTTGCGGTACGTTAGCAGCGTTAGAAGCCTATTGTTGTGTATGGTGGTCTCCATACACAACAATAGGCTTCTAACGCTGCTAATGTACCGCAACAATAGGGCTGTTTCCCCTATACACCTTCCATGCAGCATTCAAATAGATAAAGATGAGATGGCTCTTAGATAATGACTTATGCGAGTCGATTGAAATCAGCCGAATATTAAATAAGGGTTAAGTTGATCCTCAACATAGAAGCGTAGATGCATAGGTGAAGGATGAGAGGCAAAGGTGTTGAAATGCAGAATTAGATGTCGTCGAGATTTAATGCGCATGTTTAAATAACGTTGATCCAGATACCTATCGTATAAATTTGCATATAATCTAGTTATGATTATTGTCAATAATACTTACATTTTGATAAAGACGATGCTACCTATTTTACCTTTTATGTGATACTCATCATCACAGAATCCAACCTTGAATCGTAGACCAGGTCCATCAACAATACACTAGTTCCGAGAAGGGGCTCATGGTACCACTCATCCTATATCTTCTTCTTCTTCAGGTTCGGTTCATCACCCGAAATGAACGCTCGGTGCGGTTAGTAATATCAAACAGTGTTACATGCAAACGAAAAAGAGATAGGTACAACCAGGATTAGTTTTTTACTGGTGGAGGTGTCCTTGTAGCTGTCCGTGGCGGGTTGGAGGCAAAGGCCATCGAGAACGATTCATGGAACTATGTGGAGCTGGTTTGGACAATCTGGGTGATCGCACCATCTCATAGCGGATTCCTGTACCCAGATCCTTGTAGCTCTACATTTCACGCAGGAGCTGTTAGCCTTCTCGACAACTACAGCGCAGCGACGCTTTCTCGAATTAACCATGTAGTTAACGAAGATGATCGTAGTTTGGACCTCTGCTTCGTGAGCACACAGGACAGGGCTCCATCAATTTCCTCCGCTCCTTGTGAACTAACTAAGCTAGTTCAACATCACCCCGTGCGTGATTTCGACGACTATCCTGCTACGGTTTCTTATGACTTCCGTAAAGCTGACCACCGTAGCATCATAGATGTATTGTCTAGCATGGTATGGGAGAACATCCTTGATCCAAATGACGTTGAGGCTGCAGCGCAAACCTTTTCACATTTCTTGGCATATGTCATTGACAGATACGTCCCAAAAAGAACTCACCACAAAGTGTCTCACCTTCCCTGGCAGACGAGAGAGCTACGTACACTCCAAAAAATCTTCACGTTGATGCTACGTGAAAAATCACGTAACCCCTTAAACACCCCACTTCAATCATTTTCACGTGCCGCAGATCAATTTCAAATGGAATTTTGATATAATTTACGTGATTTTCATGTCGGTTGATACTACGGGAATTTCACGTAAAAAGTATGTGATAAGCATGTAAAATCTACAAAGTATACACGTTCAACCTACGTGAAAAATCAAGTAGCCATTTTGATTTCTTCAACTTCCATTTTTACATGATGGTAGTAAAATTGACAAACATACCATGTAATGTTCACTGGAGCTGATGATGAAAGTGCTTACGTGAAATGGGTTTACGTGATTTACATTAGAGGAAGAGTTGCTCTCAGTTTTGGATTTCCTAACATTAACACTGCATAAACTAGAAGGTGTTTTTAATACTATTTTACATCATTCGAAGACCGCACAAATAATTGTATTTATTTAGATTTCAGAGGCTAGAATCAATATCATGACTCTGAATAAGACAGCGTAAACAGATATTGCATCTGAATGGTCCTGATCAAATATTTGAGGCAACGAAATGTTCAGTGTTAATTTTTTAATGGCAATAGAGAAACCCGCATAAACGCGAACCATCACATGACCTTACCGATAATGGTTATAAATTGTTTATAATCCCTGCTAAACTTCAACTGAAATGGTTATGGAACCTTACATGAACGTTTGTGTGATAAAGTTTTAACCTTATGTGTTATGGTTTTTTGGAAGCGGACCTTACAAATAATGGGTTGTTAAGAACCATTACCATTCCAAATTCTTGTTTTCTCCATACATTTTCGGAAAGAGAACTATATTAGAACGTTTTTACTTATGGTTTGAGAACATTAATGGTTATGGTTATGGTAGTCAGTAAGGTCCATTAATGGTTTTGTATTATCACTCAACTTTACGTGAAATATATCGTGAATTGGTAATCAGTAATTTACAGGCAACCAATTCGCGATATATTCCACATAAAGTTGATCGATGTTACAAAACCATTCATGGACCTTACTGGTTACCATAACCATTACCATTAATGTTCTTAAACCATAAGTTAAAAGGTTTTAGTAAAGTTTTCTTTCCGAAAATGTATGGAGAAAACAAGAATTTGGAATGGTAATGGTTCTTAACAACCCATTATTTGTAAGGTCCACTTCCAAAAAACTATAATACTTAAGGTTAAAACTTTATCATTAAACGTTCATGTAAAGTTCCATAACCATTTCAGTTGAAGTTTAGCAGGGATTATAAACAATTTATAACCATTATCGGTAAGGTCAGTTTATGGTTCGCGCTTATGCGGGAATGCTTGACGTATCATTCAAAAAAAATCTAAAAATATTTAAATATTATTGTCCTGGTATTTTTAGATCCTATAAACGTTGCTTCAAGATCCTAAACATTACGTAAAAATCCATTTAATCATTTCAAAATCACGTAATACCCCGTTCACATTACAGCCTATATCACGTAATATAGGCTGTCTTGCAATGAACACTCATACAAAGGATTTCCAGTGAAAACTAGATGTATGAGTGCTCATTGCAAGACAGCGTATATCACGTGATATACGTTGTAATGTGAACGGGGTATAAACATTGCGTGAAAATCTATTCGAAATTAAGTGGAAATCACGTAAAATTTACCGTACTGTTCACGTTGACCACTAAATGAGAATATTTTTTTTTGGCTACATGACAATAACGTAAATGTTACGTGAAAAGTAGTATGGACGAAAGCTACATATATGTTTTCACGTAGATCGGACGTGCATAGTTTTTGCAGTGTAGGTTGAATTCAACGGAGAAGCTGCTGCCACCGTTCAGGTTATATGCCACCTTTTTCCGAAAAGTTTGCCAGTGTATTCACTAATGAGATACTAACTGACGACCATATTAACCTGGCAGCCAGGAACGTTCCAGTAAACGATCAAACGCTGGGTGCAATTGATGTTAATGCAGAGATGATTTCTAAGGCCGCGACTCTGCTCAAGTCATCCTTCAATCCTGGACCTGTATTTTTGAAGAGACATTGCTAGGTTGTTAATTCCGCTTCTTCGCCTGTTCCGAATGTCTCTCTCCAGTGGCATATTTCCATCTTGCTGGAAATTTGCGCACATGTTTCCCGTCCACAAAAAAGGAAGGAAACGAGCTGTGGATAACTATCGAGGAATTACATCGTTAAGTGCCGTTTCGAAGCTATTCGAGCTAGTGATTATGGAACCGTTGCTGTCCCATTGCAAGCAGTATTTGAGTGCTGATCAACATGGGTTTACTGTCGGCCGCTCTACAACCACCAATCTGCTGTGTCTCACATCGTATATAACCGAAAGCATGTCGGATCGGGCTCAAACGGACGTTATTTATTCAGACCTATCCACAGCATTCGACAAGTTGAACCATGCTATTGCGTTTGCGGCTAAACTCGGCAGGCTCGGTGTATGCGGTAGTCTTCTGAGTTTGTTTCGATCATATCTTACCGGTCGGCAACTTCACTGATATCTACTGTCTAAAATCTCTCTATTGTTCGCTTGTTCGTTCGACGCTTGAGTATTGTTCAGCGGTTTGGAACCCAAACTACAACAACGGTGCCGAGAGAATTGAATCTGTTGAACGTCGCTTTCTTCGTTTTGCGTTGCGTAGATTGCCTTGGAATGATCCGTTTAGATTACCCAGTTACGAAAGCCGTTGTCAACTTATCGACCTAGAACTACTCCGGACTAGAAGAGACACAAGTAGAGCCCTAACCGTGGCCGATATCCTGCAAGGAACGACAGATTGCGAGGCTATCCTAAGGCAAATTGACCTGAATGTTCAACCCCGACCGCTTCGTAATAATCTTATGCTAAGACCGCCTCTACGTTGCACAAATTATGGAGCATACGGTGCGATTTGCGGACTGCAGAGAACATTCAACATAGTTGCATCTGTTTTCGACTTTCATCTCTCCGGTGATGCGCTTCGTCGAAAGTTTTCTTCTGTTTTTCGCCGGCAGGAGTAACTCAATGAGGTACAGAGAGAGGTGGCGCAGACCTCACCATCCCTCTCCAAAGGGAGAGTTTGGTAAAGAGAGATGACAAAACCGATTTGTACCTTCCTTAAAAGTTGTCGCTATTCTACTATCTATATGCAATTTTCACACTGCCGTACTCTAACGTAACTATCAACCCTATACTTTCATCTACTCCATCTATCGTATAAAAATTACCACTACAGTCTGTTATTTGAAACTTTAAAGCTTAGATATTTTAAGAGATCTTAGACTTAAATAAATTTTAAACTACAAATTTTAATTGTTTTGATAGTAAAACTGACTGTCATGATATAGGGGAAATGGCTCTAATGTTGGCCTAAGATTGGGCCCATCGCTAAAAATCTGCTATTTATCAATTTTATCTAGATGAACGCGTCATTTGGACGGCACTAATGTATATTTTTGGTCGCTATTGAAAATTTAATCGTTTGCTGAATTTATGTATGGGCCCAAATTAGGGGCATTTAGGCCGATATTACATCATTTTCCCACATTCATATGCTAAATTTTTCCAACCCGAAGCCAAGAATCGAATCTACGAAGTAGACTTTTGGGAGGCCCTATAGGGTTACGAACGTCTTCAACCGCCGAGACCCTATTTCAAGCACGGGGTTTCTCATAACAGTCACATCTTTGCTTGATTTCCTAATCTAATGGGACTGTTATGCGTTTATGGGTAGTTTACCTCATGCCTGGAATAGGGTCTAGGAGGGGCCGAAGCCGTTCGACACAATACCTACGATTAGAAATTTCATTAACCATTAATAGCCATCTAATGCAATCAACCTATGAATCATAACAAACACTGCACGACACCATCGGAGATGAGCGGGGAGAGGTTATGTATATGTTAACCCTTATCAACAACTTTCTACAGGACCAACTCATCACGTTAAAACTACTTACCCGTGACGCTCCTCCACTCGTTCAAGCCGGAAGGATTTTCTCAAACCACGTACAAACTAGCAAACTCCGAAAAATTCCAGGATTATCCTCTCTTACAATTTATTTGTTGGTTTTTGTTTACCTCCATAAGAATGCAACAACAGCCTGAAGATCCACTCCCATTGCATTGTAGGAATTAAATGAACTTTTCTTATTCTGTAGGGTAGTGTTAGCAAAGAACGAGGCGCGGAAGCACCGGGGAGCTTACGAGCTGGTTTCCATCGCAGAAGCAGCGGCCGTTTCCTCGGTGTACTTGCCCTTCTCCTTGGACAGAGCTGCCCGACGTCCAGCGGCACGACGGTCCAGAATCTTCTTACGATCCTTGTCCATCTTCAGCTTCACGATCAGGCACTTGGACGGGTGCACACCGACGTACACGTTCGTGCCGTTTGCCTTCTCGCGCTGGATCCGTTCGATGTACACGACGAACTTCTTGCGGTACACCTGCACGACCTTACCGACCTGGTTACCCTTGTAGTGGCCACGCACAACCTGCACTTCGTCGTCCTTGCGGATTGGCATCGAACGGACGGTGTACTTCTGTCGCAGTTCCTTGGATAGTGGTGCTGACATCAACTTCCTACGGATGTGCGACGGGGCCTGGAAGTGCCGCTTGCGGCTCTTACGACGCGACGAGGAAACATTTTTGTTCAACTTCATCTTGCTAAAATCGATCGGAAATGGGAAAACTCCATTAGTTCGGCATCACTACTTGGTACGTTTATCGATTTCACATGAAACTATCACTTTTCAAACGAAAATTAAGCTAAACTTACGTTTAAAAAATCTACACCCGAAAAACGCGTGTTTCACGTAGTTCAAGATGTCGGAAGGAAAGAAGGCTAAAAATGTGACAAGCTGTCAGCCAAGGCGAAAGTTTGCCAGGGGTGGGGGTCGGCTCGGCCCGCAATGGTTGCGTCCTGATTATAATACATCAGAACACGCTAAACATAAAACACTCAATTTAGGGTTTTTGTGTTCTCAGATTTACTGTCCTGCAAGTGTTTTTTTTTAGAGGAGCGATGCGACGGACAAGCGTCTTCTGGATGACACTTGCCCGTCGTTTTACTGCTCTAAATTTTATAAAAAAAAAAAAAACACGGGCAGTGTAGTAAAGCTGAGAACACATCAGTAAACCTGAAACGGTGAATTCAAATTCTACTGTCTTCACGCTATTTCAAAATTACTCAAATTAGGGTAGAATCCACCCAGATCGATCAAATATGAACCTTCACGGAGAAAAAACTAGTCTACATTTGAGTTCTTTTTACTTAATTTTGAGTTCGAGAGAGATTCGACCCAACGATAGCGGCGCTGGTGGTGTAGTGGTAAGCCGGGATGTTCTGAGGCATAACATCTCTGATCACGCCTTCCTTGGGAAAGAAAGTAAAGCAGTTGTTCCCGGTTCATGATGTCTCATGAGTCGATGGACCGATCTAGGCAATTTACTTAAAAGTAACTTATTGGGCTGAACTATATCGTTGGGTTGATTTTTTTTCCGTCGATCTTGTTTTCCGTGCTGAGCACCAATGCTACCGACGCCAGGGAGACAGCTCCCACACCTGCACCGTTCCTGTCGACCCCTACTGTGTTACCTGACTTATAACGAATATACGTTGTATACGAGTACCCCGAATACAACGTATAGCTCGTCTAATTTTACATTACAAATGCTATGCAAAATTAGACCTACTCAGCAGTGGGAAATCAGGTATTGCCGGGTTTCTAAACTAAATATAGACTGATTTGGGGCGTCATTTAACGACCGAAATGAGAACCAGCGGTGGAGATGCTCTAAGATGAAACAGTCATAAGAAAAAAAAACCTCGAAAAAAACATGCCCTTTTATGGACTATTAAATTTTCATCATTTATGCAAGGTGTTTTTTGATTATGCTGCCCCTTGGTAAAGTTGGCGTTTAGTGCTTTTTCAATCGCACTAAAAATCAGAGATGTTCCATTTCTTTATTACTTGATTAACAACTAATCGATTATAGAGGTTTTCACGTCTGGCTGTATTGGTAGGATACATGAGAGCGTGATAGTGAATATCCGAGGAAAATACATAACAAATCGATGTCAAACTCATTTTGGCAGATCTACTTTCATACATTTTTTAGTTTAGCCAGAGGAAAATAATAAACAACTTTACACGGCGTTGCTCATGCTACTGTGCGTGCGTTAAACGTCACTAATCTCTATTTTTTGTTCACTGTGCTTTTCCATCAATGAGTGAGCAGAACATGTTTGAAACAATGGGTGATGATCTTCTGGAGAAGTTTATGCTTACTTGGCATGATTATAACCGATTACAAATATTTTACTTTTCGGTTCGTTAATCGATGAATCGATTATTCGAATAAAAATTGGACATCACTAGATGAATGTGAAAAATCATTGCAAATATATGGGCCTTTCATAAATAATGAGACAATTTTGAAAGGAACAGGGGCTAATCACAAATGACGTCCCCACGCCCTGATAAAAAATAGCCATAAAAGAGAGCTTAACGACGTGTTCGGGGTATCATCCAAACCATTTGTGGGATAGTTTACCCATTCGGGATACAGTTCGTTTATGGTATTTGTTTATAATGGCGGTAACTGACAAAAACACGACTGCTGACCGGTTGGATTTATTTTGATAGCCTTAATCTTTATCACAACTAAGAGCTGAATGTATGGCAATTATCCACGGCCCATACAAAATTTTAAAAATTGTGTATGGAAAATTGTCTACGCAGGGGGAGGGCCCAAAAAACTAGCTACGTAGCTAATGAACAGCCCCTGTTCAGTTTGAATAATCAATACAATTTTACTCAGTCACTGAGGTAGATTGAACGACCGTACACAGCAAAAGAAATGTAATATCGATCAACGTAATTCAAGCTGATGTATGAAATAATGATGTAATAGCAAAAAGCAGATGCAATATTACATCAATGGATGTAAATTTGTTCGTAAAATCGATGTACATCGTACAATGTGATATTACACAACCGATGGATTGACCTGGTTGCAGCAGTTTCGATGTAATATTCAACAACTCTTTTTGCTGTGTAGCAGATTTTCAATCCTTTGCCCCTTTTTTACTTAACGCCTATGAACACGTGTTATTTGACAGGTGTTTTGTCATCATCATCATCATCATCATCATTATCATCATCATCGAACGAAAACGTCAAAGGTCGATGGAAAACGACGGCTGATGCGAGGCTGAAAAAAGGTCGAAGGAAAATTTTCCGTCGAGTTGTGCAAACATTGTTTGAACAGCAGTATATTTCCCAATATTCGATTCGTATTCGTTTAAACATTGATCAGTGGAATCCGTTGTTTGTGTTGCTGATAAGGGTGTGACTAGTACGAGCCGAAATTTGCTGATTTGTCCAGGTGAGTTAACATCTAGCGACAACGATGTCAACCCATCGAAAAAATCAATAATAGGTGCCTATTTTAAAATAAGTCGTATCGCAAACAACGTCCTGTTATTGGTGCAAAGTATTGTTGGGTAATTCGCTTTCTTAATTCTTTCAGCAGCCCTTCGTAATGTGTCGTCATGTCATTACCATCGCCAGCAGCTGAAAGTGCAACAACACCTGGAGACGAAACACTATTGCAACAACAACAGCAACATAAGCGAAGCAGTATTCATCATCATCAACAGCAACAGCCGATTACGTTGATTTTGCCCACCAGCGGAAAGTTGTTCTACGAAAAGAAGCAAGACTTTGCCCTGTGCAAGCCTCAGCTTCTTCCGCTGAAGTCGTTCAGCCTGGAGAAGCTGGAGAAGATGCAAAAGGAAGCTCACCGGCAGTTGCAGGAGACTCGAGCCCGAACCGCCGCTGCTGCGGAGAACTTCTAAACAAGTGCAAGAACAAGCGATAAAAGGAAATATGGCCTATCTACTGGTATTTTCAATATGTTTGGCGCTGCTGTTGGCATCGATTTCTCTGTACCGATACGGTTGCGTCCAACGGCAGCATCCGATTGTGACCTTTTCGGTGCTGACGGCGTGGAGTTTTTCCTTTCTGATTGTCTTCACCATTCCGCTGGATGTAACTTCGGTGAGTTGGTAAATAGGGTTGCACTTTTTAAACAGTATAATGATTGGAATTTTGTTTTTATTTTAGACTGTTTATCGTCAGTGCATTCTGGAGCACAATGCAACATCCAAATCGGCAACGGTAAATACTACCTGCCAGCGTCCCTGGGGGATGGTCGAAGATGAAGTCTTTCCGAATCTCTGGCGAATTATCTATTGGTCGTCGCAGTTTCTCACCTGGTTAATAATGCCGCTGATGCAGTCCTATCTGAAGGCGGGAGATTTCACCATTAAAGGCAAACTCAAGTCCGCTCTGGTGGACAATGCAATCTACTATGGATCGTATCTGTTCATTTGTGGAATTCTGCTGATTTACCTGGCATTGCAACCTGGAATCTCATTGGATTGGCAAAAGTTGAAAGCCATTGCCTCGTCCGCTTCGAACACTTGGGGTCTGTTCCTCTTGGTGCTACTGCTTGGCTATGCTCTAGTTGAAGTCCCTAGAGGTCTTTGGAACAATTCGAAACCGGGATTTACGTTACAATATGCTTACTTCAAGCTTTCCAAACTGAGCTCTGAGAAGGCGGAAGCTGAAGAACACGTGGATGATGTGCTGGAAAGTCTGCAATCGGCAAGCCGAGCCATTCCCACTAGACATGAGCTTCGAGCAGCACTGGAAACGATCATGCGCAAGGTACCGACGGAACTGATGGAACGAGCGCGCCGCATCAGCCGAGATGATGGATCTCCTATAGCCGTTCCGTCGGAAAAAGCTCTAGTTAGACTGCACCGTCAGGTAATCAAATCGCTGCAGACTCTCCAACGAACGGAAGCCCTTTGGAATGTGCAAGTGAACAAGGTCCTCCATCTGGAAGATGTCGCCAAGAATGCCGTTTCGTTGGATCATCGGTTCAAAACGGAATTCCCCAAGCATCGCACCGGATTCTCGCGGGCCACGTACAGCCCTACCCTGGAGTGGTACTGGGAATGCGTCGTCAAGGCGCCGTTTCTCAAGGCGCTCGCCGTAATTACCGCCTTTCTGTCATTCGTCGTCGTCTGGAGTGAGCTGACCTTCTTCAACCGCGAACCCGTCCTATCAATCTTCGCCAACGTCCTGGAAATTGCCAAGGCAAACTACGACTTTGTTACCATCGAAATATTCTCCATGATGACCCTGTGCTACCTTTGCTACTGCGCATACTCCACTGTATTCCGAATCAAATTCCTAAACCTTTACTACCTAGCCGCCCATCACCAGACCAACGAGTACAGCCTGATCTTCAGTGGAATGCTACTGTGTCGTCTGACCCCTCCGATGTGCTTGAATTTCCTCGGCATGATTCACATGGACTCGCACATCATCAAACAGCGCATTCTGGAAACGCACTACACCCAGATCATGGGCCACATGGACGTGCTGGGCATCATCTCCGATGGGTTCAACATCTACTTCCCGATGGTGATGCTTGCCTTCTGTCTGGCCACGTGGTTCTCGCTGGGAAGTCGCGCGCTAAATGCTCTCGGCTTCCAGCAGTTTATGCTGAACGAAACCATCGCAACGGAGCTGGTACAGGAGGGTAAAGATTTGATTGTCAGGGAGAAACGCAAGCGCCAGAGGGCGGAGGATGCGATTGCCCGTCGTCGCGATAACATACTGAACAATCTCGGACGGGATTCCGCCGGTGGAAGTAGCGGAAGCAATGGGAATGGAAATGGAAACGGTGGAGGCGTTGGGAATATTCTGTCAAAGTATAAGTCGAGGAACCTGGATTCGGCTGCCAGTCCGGTGGGACCCAATGATGATCTGGTGCGGCATGGAGATCGGTTGGATTACAGCACCAACGGGAACCGAGGAGGAGATTTTACGCGTTCCCTGTCGGATGAGATTAGCGAAAGGTTCGGGGTCAGTACGAATGTTACGGTTGGTTTCAAGGGTTATAACGACTTCGGAGAGGATGATGACGGTCGGGGTGGCAGGGGTGGAAGCGGCAGCGGCGGGGGTGCTCCCCGTGGATTCTTCGATGACGTCTGAGGAGGAGAGTACTTCGGAAGAGTGCATTTTACGTAGGTTTACGTTTCTCAGTGATACTAAGTTTAATTCGTTAGAGTTTAACCTTTCGTTTTCGATGTAAACAATTATATACATATTTAAATTCTACTACAAACAAAAAGAAAGTTATCTTTAGGAATACTTTTGCATTACTCCCTGCAAATGCTAGAACTTATTAGAACAACACAGGAAGCACTGATAGTATTCGCAACATTGTAGGTACTGTGGTTTTATATGCAAGTGTGAGGCAGAGTGAAACGTAGCGAATGGACTGGGAAAATCGCAAACTGCTTTCGATTCGAGTATTGGCTAATCCTCATAATTAAAAAAAAAATGCTGATAATGCATATTAAAGCAAAAGACACTCAGAAACGGAAACGTTAACGTACACGTAACTACTTGCTGGAACTAATTGGCATTAACAAATGTAGTTGAATAAGAGTCGTATTGCATGCATGTACTACATACCTAAATTTAACACCTCCACACGCATATTATAATATACACAAGAGTTGAATGAAAATCGTGTTTAGTTCTAAGCTGGATCGTAGTCCTTATTAGTCCTGATGGAAGTACTATTATAATACAGCAAAGGTTAATAAAATAGTGCTAACAAGAAAAGTGGCTGTCAGCTTTGGTTGTTTACTGTTCCGAATTACTGTTTTATTGTTGTTTTCGTCCTACAGTACAGTACTAAGCTATGTTCTATTTTTAAAACATTTCTTGGTTACACTAAAATCAAAACATTGGCAGGAGCTAAGCGGCTTGTTGAATCTATAAATAGGCTGATGTGCAGGAGCTATGATCAGAGGTGAGTGAGTGCCTTAGCTGACGATAACGTAGATTGTAGGTGATCGTTTCACGGAAGGCGACGAAGTGCGGAGCGCACGATTAATTTTAGTACACGTTCAATATGGGATCTAGGGGTAAGTGTGCCACCATGCTATAGCTGAGGTTCCATGATATACACCCATATTCTTGTTTTTGTTCTAACTGTATTTTCCATTAAAAAAAACTTTTATATAGCTCAAACCTGAATTAATACACCTGTGGTGAGATCTGACGCTTCTTAGGCTGTGTTCCATTTGGTGAATTTTCACTTAAATTTAACAGATGAAAATTTTTCAAATAAACCGGACTTATTTCTGAAAGACAATTTTGACAGACGCTGTCTCGAAAATCGACCGATCAACAACAGAGGGTAAGATGTTCGAAAATCCGAATTAATATAAAAAAATATTTTCGAAGTGTCAAATCTAAGTGAAAATTGTCCAAAAGGAACACAGCCTTATAGCACGAAACTAACAATTTTAAATTGGCTCACTACTTGACTAGTCTAATGGTCCCAAGCAAATCGATTAACGTATCCCATTCTAGTCAAAATTCTAGAACTACACAATGTTGGTTTTGATTCGCTATGAAAGTTTGACAGATAAAATGAGGGTTTAACCGATTTTCCTATGTTTCGAGGGGTGAATCGATTAGCTTGGGACCGAATATAGTACCAGAGCTGAGCCAAAAAGTTGAGCACGTTTCTTCGGGACATACTATAGTCAACAATCAATACGAAATTAACGATTTTAAATTGGCTCTCTACTTGACTAGCCTATTGGTCCCAAGCAAACGATTAACGTACCCCATTCTAGTCGAAATTCTAGTACTCCACAATGTTTGTTTTGATTCGCTATGAAAGTTTGACAGTTAAAATGAGGAGTTATTGGTTTTTCCTCTGTTTCGAGGGGTGAATCGATTAGCTTGGGACCGAAGAGAGTACCAGAGCTGAGCCAAAAAGTTGAGCACGTTATTTCGGGACCTTCTAGTCTTAGAGTTACCTCTATGCTATAGTCATAGAGGTAACTCTAAGACCACTGGGTCCCGAAGAAAATCATTATTATTTTTGGCTCACTCAGTACCAGAACAACGGTCCCAAGCAGTCCCAAGCTATTTCACTCACCCCTGCATGTTCTGCATGAATCCACACACCCCTGATGTTATCTGTCAAACTTTCATAGCGAATCAAAACAAACATAGTGTAGTAATAGAATTTCAACTAGAATAGGGTACGTTAATCGTTTGCTTGGGACCAATAGGCTACTAAAGTGGTGAGCCAATTTAAAATCGTTAGTTTCGTATTGATTGTTGCTATAGTCTTATAGTACGTTCAGACTACAGAGTTCTGAAAACTACAAAAAGTGATATATATGAATAGTTTAAAGAATGGTGATAGCTTCAAAAAGCTTCAAGGTAAGAAATGCTATATGATTTGAATGATTTCTTAGCTTATAACGTTTTTAAAAGCATATTTGTTTCATTCCACAAATTTGAGTCCCATAAATACATTTTAAAAAATGGGTACTTTTTTACCCAGTTACGGAAAACAATGCGTTCTGGAAATGGGTAAAAAGTACCCCATGATTTGACGTATAAGCTCTTTACCCATTAGTGGGTAAAGACGTTTTACCCATTTTATGAGTTTACCTACTTTACCGCGAAATGGGCACTTTTTCACCCATTAATGGGTACTTTCCAGTTACAGTGTACGCAAGCGAGTCAGCAACTGAAGTCAATTCTCGCGTCACTTTTCAAATAGACCAATGTAACATATCCACCATTTTGAGAAAATCGAAATTAAAGTTCAACAGATTATTATTTTAACTGTTTAAAAACAATGCATTTTGCAATACTATTTTTAATGTAGTCAGTGTATAATAACGTTGAAAATTCAGAAGAACCGGTAAAATCACAATTTTACTTTGAATTTCATGCTACACGCAGAAAAATTTATCGTTGAAACAAAAATATTTGAGGTAAATTTAAACGTAAACTCAGTTTGTTCTGGCCACAAAAATAAACAAGGTTTATTTCAAACGTATTCCATGTTTGAAGTCATGTGATATTTATGTTTAAAATAAAAATAATGTTACGTTTATTTTAAAAATATTCGGGTTGAAAACAAACGTGAATATTTTTGTTTGGTTTGACCCTGGGTTTGAAAACTATGCGAACAAAAATAAATATGTTTATTTTAAACATACTTCTTATATTTGAAAGAAACATACTTAATTTTGAATTAAATTAGCATTAAGGATTAAAAAAATGGATTGCAAAGATATGAAAAAAAAAACGAACTGCAGACTGCGTGGGCTGTGGATGTTGGGGTCCTGGTCCGAGATGCGGGGACCCGTCGGGGTGAGTGTCCGGAGGTTCCAATTAAGTAAAACCAGTGAAACTTTGTGATATTAGCGTCGTCTCATACCGGGATCTTTCTACGTTCGGTGTTGGAGGAGTGAGGGGGGTGGTGCTGGAGGATCCGGAATAGATTCAAAATCTGTTTCGGATTTTCGTTTTTCTTCCGACGTCAGTTGTGGAGGAGGATGATACAGGGATCGGCATCAGAAACGACAGAGTGACATCGATACTGTGGGGTTCTTCCGGTTTTAACGAGCTGGAACTTTAAGACACTTACCTAGGTGGGTTTCCGGATCCATAACATGGTTTTGTTGCGGGCTATTTTCAGTTGATTGGGATTGGTATAGCTGGGGCAATTTTTTTTTCCAAATGTAAACAAGAAGGAAAAAAGGCATGGCACGCTAAAAATCGTTTACCCATATTCTATATTGTTGAAATAAACATGCTTTTGACTTTAATTCAAACATATAAATTTTTGTTGCAAACATGTTTTTAATTTATTTTGAATTATTCATATGTTTATAAAATGAACATTTATATTTTTGATTTAAATGAAAAAAATTCGGTTCCGTGTACAACATAGAAAAAAACCACGAGTTGTACATCGGACATGTTACATTGGACGATTTTTCTCAATGACATAATCAATGAGTGTTACATTGGACGTTTTGTCTACATGATACAAGATTCCTTTTTAACAGATTTCAGAGTATAGTACCTAACTTTAGATTGGCCCCGCCTTTGGAAAATAAGCACCAATCATGTTAGGCAGTCCGAATGGCCGAAGTAACAATCATTTACCCATTATTTCTAGATAAACATTTCAAAAGGTCCTATCTGACATTTGTAAACAAATCGAGTTTAATGCTTCTCTGTACTGCAGAGCTCACCATCTCTAAGTATTGTTCTAGAAATTTTAATTATCAATATTCGGAAAATTATAAAAATATGTGAAAAAAACGTCCAATTTGAAAGTTTTTATAATATCGCACAGCTCTCTGATTGGACCTTAAACATGTTTACAGTCCAATCTGTCATTCAACCAAAAAAAAAATACAAATGCTATTAGGACCTTTGTTTCATCTCGTGTTTCACGTGGAATAGAAAAACTAAAACTCATAATAGTTAGTTGGAAATGCTATACTAATATGAACATGAAGTTTGAGAAATTCCTATGGATCCAACATCTGGGAAGTGGGATATGAGAAAATTTCATTTACGATGCCTGTAATCAATCGCTCTGCTTCTGGTATGGAGTTGACGAATTAATTGCGATTCCAGGAGTACACCAAGGCAAAAGCTTATTCAAAATTCTGTCAAATCCGACATGTGATATTACAAGCGTGAATTTGGACGAGGATTTCGATCCAATTGCGGATCAACCACTTGAATTGCCAAGTGCTAAATTGGACGATTTACGCAAACTGATGCCATATGTCAAGCAAAAAGATTATTTTGCAACATTGCAACAGAAAAAACAGGAAGAAGAACAATAATACGGTTGTAGACCACTTTGATGTGGATCTCAATCCACTGGAGGACAGCGATGTAGATTTGATCGAATAACATGAATGAATGTAAATTATTGATGAACAGCTTGAGCTAATAAATATAAAACGAATGATGTAGAATGAAAAAAACGGAGTTTGTTTATAAAAATATACCGAATATTAAAAAATATGCAAATTTTCCATACACTTACATTTTTCCTGCATACATCAGAAAAAATAATGGACAAGTTCTTATTATAAACGTACTTTACTTAATAAATTGGCAGAATAGTAGTTTTAAGCCCATCAACAATTACAAATAATGATGTAGTTGTAATTATCTGACCTCTAAACCGTATTCTTACCAAGGTCCTAAGTAACATTAACTTTGCAATCAGACCAATTTGACAGGTCCTAACTGATACAGAAAAAAGCCAAGGGTCCTATGTAACAAAACCACGAATTAAACCTGAAAATTATGAATAAAACGAAGAAACATACACTTCAGTCGAATTCTATGTATTTCCTATGCATTTGAGAGTACAAAAGATTATCGTTTTATGTCGTAATTAAAAAAGGCATTTAAAAATATATTGCAAAAGTTCAAATCAATTTTTCTCCAATCAGCTTCAATGACAGATAGGACCTTTTGAAATGTTTGTCTAGAAATCAATTTTTCTCCAATCAGCTTCAATGACAGATAGGACCTTTTGAAATGTTTGTCTAGATTTCAAACTGTACATTGGACAATTTTTGATCAATGATTATCTTAAATAAATGAAAGTAAATTTGGATGGATGTTTTTGTATCACATACAATGGTAGAAGAGCAATAGCTTGTATCTCGGCTTGTATCGCTTAACTCGATTTGTTTACATTTGTTACTTAGGACCTTTTGAAAAGTGACGCGAGAATTGACTCAGAGCATTTTCTTTCCATGCGGAATTGACAATTTAATTCGCGCAGTTGAAAATGAAGTTTCATACCACTTGAACTTCGAAATACACACCAAATTCTAATTTTGATGTTCGGTAAATTTTTTTATGGTTTTGATCTGTAAAATTTAATTTCTACTGAGTGATCTGTAAAATTGCTTTAATTTTCTTCTGTCTGTCAAATATCTACAAGTTTTCGGTAATTCCCATGAAAATATTACTGAAAATTTGCATCTATTTTACCGATGTAGTTTGTAAGCCATGAAATGTCATTTAATCTAAACTGTTCAGTAAAAGTTTTACCGATTTCCAGTGAACAATTTATAAATACTGACGAAAAATGTAAACAATACAGGAGTTCAGTAATTATTTCTGAACGCTTCAGTTAAAATCACGCCTGTCAAATCTTCATCAATTTCGCATGTTAAGCGGTGTAATTAAATTTTAAGAAAATCGTGCAAAAATATTAGCAGAAAAAAAAACTTGTAAACCATTGAAATGGAAGATGTGTCCGATGAGATTAGATGTGCTAATGGCCGGATGCAGAAGTAAGGGATCTTTTCAGTAAGTACTATTTATATTATCTAAATGTTTTCATATTTTAGCACTCAAATAAAATGGCTGGCGATCGCTGACTCGTTGGATAAACAGATTGACGAATTGCATTTAATAAAAGATATAAACAACAAATTTATATTGTGCATGATTTGAACGGAACAATTCCCTATATTTCACTGCTTTTCAGTAAAAACTATCGAAAGAACTGTAATTTTTGGCGGATGACGGCCTTTCTATTTTTACCGATTATTTTGTAAATTTTACCGAACTTCGGTATTGAATGATGAGCTAGTCGGTATTTTTTGACAGTTGAGTATACATTGCAAGTTTACTGATCGTTCACTAAACCAAACTTTTACCGAACTGATTACCGAATGTTCAGCTGTTTGAAAGTCAGTAAAATGTTTACCGACAACTGTAAAAACAACTTGGTGTGTAGCACAATATTTTGAAGGTTTTTCTTCTAGAACCACGAGAAAAGTAGCCAAAAGTAGTGCGTCTCATAGTAAAATAGTAATTTGTTGGTCCAATTTTGTGAAATCGCTGGTAGGAAGTCACGGTAAAACCATAGAGGTAACTCTAAGACAAGTAGGTCCCGAAGAAACGTGCTCAACTTTTTGGCTCACCTCTGGTACTATCTTCGGTCCCAAGCTTGTCGAATCACCCCTCGAAACATAGGAAAAACCAATAACCCCTCATTTTATCTGTCAAACTTTCATAGCGAATCAAAACAAACATTGCGTAGTACTAGAATTTCGACTAGAATAGGGTACGTTAATCGTTTGCTTGGGACCAATAGGCTACTAAAGTGGTGCGCCAATTTAAAATCGTTAGTTTCATATTGATTGTTGGTAAAACTCGAGGGGGACGACTCTATCTACGATGCAGGAAAGATTGTGTTTGCTGTGGCTAGCTGCGTGTACGCTGAGTACCCTAATAAAAAATAACCATATACGAACGATAACCCAAATCATTGAACTATTCCACAAATGGTTTGGATGATACCCAGAACACGTCGTTAAGCAAATTAACCATACAATTTTTATTAGGGTAGATAGAAAGAAGATTGACGATGACTCTGAAGATTTCCTGCAAAAAGATGATACGCGAAGCAAGTAGATGCGAGAAATGAAAGAAGATTTTTCGAAGATTGATTCGCTAGTTGGAGATTTGTTAAGCATCTACACTAATAAAATTCTACATATTTTTATTGACGAATTTCCATGTGAAATTCCACATGATTTTCATGTGACCACACATAAACAGAATCTACCCAGAAGCACACATGAAATTAATGAGTCAAATGAATAGTATGTGTGGTCACACATAGCTTTTATGTGTACACATATTAAGTATGTGTCCGACACATTAATTTCATTTGTTGATCACATTGCAAAATTCATGTGTGGGACACATAAAAACAATCTTTGAAATTTTATCAGTGTAAACTTAAGATTCGGTAAAACCATAGAGGTAACTCTAAGACAAGTAGGTCCCGAAGAAACGTGCTCAACTTTTTGGCTCACCTCTGGTACTATCTTCGGTCCCAAGCTTGTCGAATCACCCCTCGAAACATAGGAAAAACCAATAACCCCTCATTTTATCTGTCAAACTTTCATACACGCAGAAAAATTTATCGTTGAAACAAAAATATTTGAGGTAAATTTAAACGTAAACTCAGTTTGTTCTGGCCACAAAAATAAACAAGGTTTATTTCAAACGTATTCCATGTTTGAAGTCATGTGATATTTATGTTTAAAATAAAAATAATGTTACGTTTATTTTAAAAATATTCGGGTTGAAAACAAACGTGAATATTTTTGTTTGGTTTGACCCTGGGTTTGAAAACTATGCGAACAAAAATAAATATGTTTATTTTAAACATACTTCTTATATTTGAAAGAAACATACTTAATTTTGAATTAAATTAGCATTAAGGATTAAAAAAATGGATTGCAAAGATATGAAAAAAAAAACGAACTGCAGACTGCGTGGGCTGTGGATGTTGGGGTCCTGGTCCGAGATGCGGGGACCCGTCGGGGTGAGTGTCCGGAGGTTCCAATTAAGTAAAACCAGTGAAACTTTGTGATATTAGCGTCGTCTCATACCGGGATCTTTCTACGTTCGGTGTTGGAGGAGTGAGGGGGGTGGTGCTGGAGGATCCGGAATAGATTCAAAATCTGTTTCGGATTTTCATTTTTCTTCCGACGTCAGTTGTGGAGGAGGATGATACAGGGATCGGCATCAGAAACGACAGAGTGACATCGATACTGTGGGGTTCTTCCGGTTTTAACGAGCTGGAACTTTAAGACACTTACCTAGGTGGGTTTCCGGATCCATAACATGGTTTTGTTGCGGGCTATTTTCAGTTGATTGGGATTGGTATAGCTGGGGCAATTTTTTTTTCCAAATGTAAACAAGAAGGAAAAAAGGCATGGCACGCTAAAAATCGTTTACCCATATTCTATATTGTTGAAATAAACATGCTTTTGACTTTAATTCAAACATATAAATTTTTGTTGCAAACATGTTTTTAATTTATTTTGAATTATTCATATGTTTATAAAATGAACATTTATATTTTTGATTTAAATGAAAAAAATTCGGTTCCGTGTAGCGAATCAAAACAAACATTGCGTAGTACTAGAATTTCGACTAGAATAGGGTACGTTAATCGTTTGCTTGGGACCAATATGCTACTAAAGTGGTGAGCCAATTTAAAATCGTTAGTTTCGTATTGATTGTTGGTAAAACTGCTTGACAAAGTGGTCCATATACTCATAATTGGGAAAACTTGCAGGAACTCATAGATAATGAGTAGCTGCAGGTTTTCCCAAATATGAGTAAATTTCATATGCAAAGAAAATGCTCTGAGTCAATTGAATTCAGTCGCGGAGTTGTTGTTGTTGGCCGTGTGCATGATTTTATCGGATTAGCAGGAAAATACTGTACTTGTACTTTGCTTTCAGCCCTTTTCAGCGTTTCAGCACGCAGCCCAGTTTATTTGAAATCATCACGCGTGTACGTCACTGTTCCGTTAACAACAATAACAAGAAATCAACAAACGAGTTTTTTTTCTTTGTGTTGTCCTTATTTTGGACGGCTAAGGCTCTGAACCATTTGGTGGATTATTTTAACTTTTGGTTAAAATTTGACAGATGGAAAGTTATCGATGAACCCTGCTATCCGAGCATGGTTATTTCTGACAGACAAGAAGTTAAATTTTGACAACGGTGGATCGAAAACCGGTCGATCGACAACACGGGGATTTTCGAACATAAAAAATAACTTTCGAAATGTCACTTTTAACCACGAGTTAATTTTAACTCGGCAATTGGTTCACAGCCTTAGGCTCACGGTCCATCTCGCCATAACAAACGAGTTTAAAATTAGGAAACAATGTGCAAATTGTTTGTTTTTTAATAAGTTGTGAGTGATTCTAGTGAATTAGTCGAATTATTACATAAAACTTAGAAAGAATTTAAAATCAAGTTGTGTGATGGATATCGTGCAAAGAAGGAGAAAGGAAACACTTCAAAATGGAGATCACTAGGTAAGTGAGAGACGCCTCCGATGTTACAGATTCTAAAAACTATGATTTATTGGCATTTGAAAAATTACGATGAAATTGTACAGCAATTTAGAATGTAGCACGTAACTTATGTCTAAGGATATTGAAATTTTTATATCGTATTTTAGTGGAATATTATTGGTTCTGATGGCCCTTTCGGTCGATTCTATGCGTCCTATAAGTTCGGACTCCAGATGCCGGAGTTCCGTTAAATTCAAATTTTGTTTTGAACTCGCCGAAAATGGGAATAATCTACTAGCTATTTGTTTAAATTCAAATTTGGCAATTAGGTTATTCATATCGACATTCGCTTCAGGCTTATGGTACTGGTAATGATATCGGCCGGATGGTAACCCTGATCGAGCAGAAACTCGTTCTCATGCGTCGTGAAGCTGTTCCCACCCAAACAGGTGCAGGAGCACACCGACGTGTCTTCCTCTTCGATTTCCGAACAGTAGTTGTTCAGGTTGGCACAGGAGAGTAGCTTCCCGGTGGATTCGCATTCGTAGTTCAGGCCATCCACCGACGATTGCATTTCGGCTTCGTCCCGCCGGATGTCTTCGGCGTTCCTGCAAATTTGCAAAGATGATTTAATTATGATTAATAATTATTGTTCTTTGGTGAAAGATCATTAATCTCACATGGTCATGAATCTCAGTACCAGCAAATTGATGCTGGCAGCTACGACGGCCAGTCCGAACAAGATAAATACCAAGCTCAGGGCTACGTATCCCGGCTTGTTGATCAAAGCTTGGTCGTTCTGCAGTGCCACGTAGTCCCCGAATCCAATTGTCGTTAATGTAACGAAACAGTAGTAGAAACTATCAAAGTAGGACCATCCCTCGTATTTGGAGAAGACTGCAGCGCCAGTCGTGATGATGACCGACGACAGCAACCCGGTAGCCAACATCAGATTCATCTCGGTCGCTTCCGTTTGCTGACAGCGGAGGTACTTTTTCGCTCGCCGTATGACAACGGAAGCGAACTTGTTCAGTCGTTCACCGATGCTCTGGAACATGACCAGCCCCAGGGGAATGCCGACCATCGCGTAGGCCATGCAGAAGGCTTTGCCACCGATGGTCACCGGTGTCGAGTGACCGTAACCGATCATGGCTAGCACCACGGTGGCAAAGTAAAATGCTCCGGCAAACTTCCACTGCGGTCCCGCTTTGTGCGGTTTGTTCTCCGTGATGACGATCTCGATCATGTGGTAGTCCTCCGGGGTTATGTTGTACTTGGCCACGAAGGTGGCTTTGACATCTGAAACGGTCGGTAGGGAAGGAAGATTACACATATGTAATGTTAATGTACTATTATTTTTCTCTCGTTATAGGTAAGTGCGTTCCCCTTTAATTCCCTGGAGTTCATCCAAGGTAAGAGGTAAGTTAATTATTTAGTAAACACAATCAGTTAGCTGAATACAGAAAGCTTTACTGAATTTAAAACATGTTTCATTTTATCAACATTTCCAAGTTGATCAAAATACCTATGCCTTTCCATAGCTTTTTAGTTTTACGTTGTACAAAAAAAATACAAAAGACAGCCCTATGGGGTTGTACGCAATGGTGACGTAAAACTACGTGGTCTTACATAATAAATGTTATTTGTTAACTACAGCAGGAGCTTGTGTTTTGTGTAGTAATAGGAATTTGAGCGGGGTTCTCTCTGTTTATACTCTTTAGTATGACTATGATTGCCCTGAAAAGAACCTTTTGATATGAATTTTAGTTGGGACATGTTCAGAAATATAACTCTTTTGGAAAATCATGTTGGCAATGAAAAGGGCCATTGGTAGTACAGGCTTAAAGCCTTTGGAAGATAATGATGACGTGTAGACAGCTGGATCAGCAAATCGGACCAGACAATCCCATATTCTTCGGTTCAATGATTGGGCACTCGCAAGAGCCTCGGCTCGTCTGCTGCTGGACAGTGCACAGTGGTCCAGAATGCAGATTTAGGTGGAATGATATGTTTTGAGCCTGAAATTGAAACTTTATACTAAAAGTCTCTTCTACAAAGTTGTTCCTTATAGTTAGGTCCTCATTTTTATGACAATGAATTCTAGGGTGGTTCCTGGGGCAGGTAGCTCATCGATTCTTCCGGTTCGCCTCCTAGCATCGTGCTATAAGGTACCAGGCGATAACCAGGGTAGTCGATCGATAGCTCGATGACGTCATTTCGTTGGCGTCTGCAATGGGAAATTCTCATAGCAGGCGTTGACGATGGGACGTTGTCGAGTTGTTGAATAGCAACTATCGTGGTAACTCACCGATTACCTGTCGATCTGCCAAATTTGGAAAGACGTCTGCATTGAATTGTCTCATTTAATAATATTCCGCCCACTATATCACAAGAAATTGCGAGTAGCTGAGTGGAATGGAGATAAGTTAAGCATTGGGTACAGGACCAAGTCTCCCCTGGGTGGTGCCAGAAGATGAGCGCAATAGAATCATCAAGTTGCCATAAGGCACGGAATGAGACTATTGCATGGCTGGGTAATCAAAGTCTTCCATTCGTTAGTCATTTCAGGTGGATTAGAACAGGTTTAGGTTTAGGGTGGGCGTTGGCCAGATTTGGATTTTTCAGATATAATCCTAAATAGGACCTAGATTATTTAATACACTAGTAACCTCAACTTCTGTCACAATGTTTCATAGTGACCAGCGAATCCAAACACATAAAGCAACCAACGATACAGACAAAATGGTTGCTACGACTACCATGACAAACTCGCTCTGTAACAAAGCTCGATCCGAGTGGTAGAAGGATAATGATATATTGCTTGCCTGCTTTGTTGCAATATACACGGATGAGGACATAGCTTGATATGAATCGGGAAAAGACATAACAAAAAAAATCCCATTAACACACGTGTATCATCTTCGGCTTTACTTCGTGAAGCAGCTTGCCAACAATTTGCTCGTTTCCTTCTACCGCCCCGAATGCGTCGTGTCGCACGAGCTGCTTGTCATGAAAAAGAACGGTGAAGATTATATCAGTGCCAACATTTCAAAGGGGCGTAATTGCTTTTGTAAACAATGACTTTAGCCATCAATTTCTCGCGAATGAAATCTTACCTCTCCAAAATTACAATTCTAGCTGGTAGAGGAAACATTCATCTACCTTCTGGTGTCATTATTTTTCATGAGTGAGCTTTTATTCGCGAGAAATCGACGGCTAAAGCCATTGTTTACAAATGCAATTACGCCCCTTTGAAATGTTGGCACTGATATCATTATTGTTTTCAACTTCTGACATAGCGTTATTATTCGGTACGTTGATCGCTTGTTATTTTGTCATTTGGAGATATTTTTGATTCCTTGATAGTGACTAATCAACACACAATGGGTAAAATATCAAAATTGCGGTAAATTTGAAAAAAAGGTAGCTTGGCGTGTAGAGCGCACTGCCCATCGGACGATTCTGAAGCCTGACCAAGTGAGTGGGCTACGGGTTTATTTGATTGTACGTCATTTCCAAGTTATATATAGATACATTCATACCATTGGCATTTTGTATTTGAGATGAGACAGAGACAGGATACGGAGGGCCTGCTTAGGGGGAGCGTAACCCATGTTATGGCTTCCATTTATTAAATAGTTCAGATAGGCTGGAAATGATAGGTTCATGGTGAGAAGATGTACCATATGGTGCCCGTTCACTGATCAAAATTATATTCAAATCGTAGGGCCCTGCCCTGGAATAAGGGGATTGACGATGATTTGTCAAGTTTCATTTTGCATTTGCATATAATTGTAAGTTTAGGTTTGCTTTTGTAATTGTAAGATAGATAGTTTGCCTCAATTGAAACTCTAAAAAGTAGTAGTTACAGTGCCGCATTATCTAACAACCACTGCCTGCAACTAATGTTGAGGGGTCGGCAGGGCTGATTACGGATCAAAACTAACATAACTCTTACACTGAAATGATCCCGAAACTAACGCTCATTCATTGCACTTTGAGTCATAAAGTAGTTTTATTAATTTTCCTACTAATCTATCTACACACTTAGTTTTTTTCTACCGAGCTCGGCGGGGAGGGGGTTTCGCTGAGATCTCGGCGGGAGTGACATTTGATTGCTGAGTCTCGGATAATGCCTTTTCTAATAATCTGCCTACGTTTCTTTTCTTTGTTATCTACTTTATCCCCTTTTATTGTTCTGCTCTTCTTTCCTCTTCTCTTCTTTTGTTTTGTTTGTTTACATATAACTAAAAAAAATACTAATACCTCCTTGTTTTCTCTCTAATTTGTCTACTATGTCCCACCATCACGATGAGAGATGAGCTACCGTACATGGTACACGCTCATATACACTCCCAAAATAGTATGCCGCAAGTAAGTATATCACAGAGGCAACTAAAGATCCAGAAACGCCGATAACGCTGAAGATAATGAGCTGTGGTGATTTATATTACAATATATAGTATTATTTATTTATACTAACCTAAACACAACGTGGGGTGACCCAAATCCAAACGATCACTAACCAAAATAATAGACTTATCTTCTTTTTCAGCAGGTGTAATTTCGTTTAGTTCTGTTTCTCTCTTTTCAGCCAAACAACAACAAAAAAACCTCTATAACTCTTCTCAATTCTTTTAATCTCCTACTATCCCCTATAAATGTATCGGAAACTAGTGGGACTGTCTGTGCAAACAGAAACAGGCCTGCTAGTGGAAGAAGGTCGTTATGCTATACGGTCTAGCATAGGCCTACGGCCAGGTTTCAGTAGGTACACACTCGCTTAACGGCAGATTGGTTTACAGTGGTCGACCAGGGTGTGTGTTGATAAATTACAATTACAATTACAATGAATTCTAGGGTGGTTCCTATTATCATTAAAATCAAAAATCTAACTTTTTTGTTTGAATAAATTAAGGTATACATTCTCCGGCAAAGTTATAGCTGAGCTAATTTCAAGCAACTTTGTTGAGAATAACTTTTTTGTATCTCTTAAATTGGCCGATTTAGAGCTATTTTCTTGGATTGAGTTAGGGTGGCTCTTAAAAAAACAGTTTTTTTGCTCTATTTTTCTTATTTCGAATTTCTCAGCAAAGGTGTCTTCAGATAACTTTTAGATCTTAAGAAGGCGCAAATTTTTGCCGCAAAAAGCTTGTCAATATCTTTCGCCGATCAAGAGTTATTGACGTTTTTATACTAAAAATATACACTTTTCAAGTGTTAATATCTCTGGTTGGGGCATACAAAAAAAAAGTTTTTTTGCAGCATTTGAAAGGGCGTATGTTATTATTAATACGAAAAAATTGGAGGTACGTTATTTTTTAAACTCGTATAAAATCAATTTGAATTTATTCATATTTTTTACTATATTTGAGTATATCTTTTTTTATTAGAATAGGTACAGGCAACAAATCCAGCTATAAAACATTCGTCTTAAAGGGTGTCCACGATGAAATTGCCACACACAAAATTGATTCGCAAAATTCGAGTTTTCATCCGATTGCCATCAAATTTTCAGGGATTGAGAAATAACTATTAAACTTCATTTTACCATTTTACTCGTATTTTATTTACAGTCCATACGCAAATGCCCGCACCTTGGCCTTAACCCCGGCCATAAGATTATGCACAACCTTTTTTTTTTATCTAGTTCGTTTATTTGGAAGGCTCAATCGCGTTAGCTTTACGGAGCCGATAATTCATTGTTCACTGTGTGTAACAAAATTCACTTAATTCTATGTCTAGTAGGAGTTGGGCCGATTACTCGCGGCTTACTCGAGGTTAGAAGGGTACATTTTCGAAGGATAGGATCAGGGGAAGAGCTTGGGGTAGGGTTTCGTTGTCTCATCAGAGCGTTGTCGCCAGTATGAACGGTAGTGCTGTTCTAGCTTCGTCTGGAGTTCGACCGGCTATGGTGGGTGACCAGTGGGCGACGATGAGACTCATCGAGACGGGGGGACAAGACAAACAAAAACTAATAAAGAGAGACAAAAGACAAAAGGAATTAAATTCTTATACTAGACATTTGAAGAAAAACATAAACGGACTGCATATAGCAGATATCACGGGTTGCCAACACGTCTCTGATAGGAACATAGGGTTGTCTTCCTTGGGCCTCGAGGGTATTCAAAAGTCGCTCTCTGGCGGCGTCATTATCCGTACATTGCCAAACTGCGTGTTCGATGTCATCGTAACCGTTTCCACACCGACAGATGTTGCTGTCCACGAGGTTTATTCTATTGAGATGAGCATCTAGCGAGTAGTGGTTGGACATAAGTCTACTCATCACGCGAATGAAG